GGGATAAGGGAGGTGAAGGATAGAGTTGCTCGACATGACAACCGCCTGTCGGAAGCTGAAACCCGTATCGATCAAGTGAACAATCGGGTTGATAACGTGATGGCTGACATGAAGAAAACGCTGGACGACCTCAAACTTGGGGATGGAATTACAGCTCCCGTGGTAGCTACAACATCTTCGCTACGCGTATTGTGGTCGGTCTACAAAATCAAGTTCGAGGCTGTCACGAAGGCGAACGGTTGGAATAAGTCTGGCCATGACTGCTCTTACACTAGGCCTGCGTGACCAGGCCTTAACTGTCCTGGAAGCTCTCGGTAAGGAAGTGACTTACGAGCAGCTCCTTGAGGCATTGGAGGCGAGATATGGCGACGCTCACCGGGAACACGTCTTTCGTGCGCAGCTCAAAGATCGCGTGCAACGCAGCAACGAAAACCTGCAGCAGTGGGCCCTTGAGGTGTAGAAGCTGGTTCGAAAAGCATACCAGTCTGTACCTGCGCTCATTGTAGGGAACGTGGTGCAGACATTCATCCACGGCATCCGCGTCCTTGAAGTCAGAGCTGCTGTGAGGCTCGAGCACCACGTGACACTTCAGGACGCGTTGGCTGGCCCATGCACTGGAGGTGGAAGCCGTGCGACGGGATCATCGTTTCTATCGCGTCAGGGAGGTTGCAGCAGCTACAGTTCGCAACCGCAATAAAGAATACAGCTGCTGGCTACGGCTACGTGCTACGGCTGTGGGGTAAGGGCTTCTTTGATCCAGCTGCCCTAAGCGAACTGTAGAATAGGAAGGTGATCGATCTCGAGAGGGTAGTGTAACTAAGAGCACCTCCCAGAAGCAGCGGGGAAACGAGTAAAAAGCCAGGACTGCGGGGCGGGTGCTGGCTGATGTTAAAAGAGCCCCAAGGATTGCGATCTCACAAACCCATGATGGGAACAGCCTAATCATCAAGGGTGAAGTCAACGGAACGAACAAATCTCGTAAAGTAATCCAACAAACATCCGTAGTTTAACCGGTTCAGTGCGGGTGACACGCCAGGAGTGCCATCGATTACTTTTGTGTGTGGCGTATGACACGGGAGTCGTGTCTTTTTAAAAATCGTTATCTCGCTCAAATTGCATTTTTGGAAAATTTATCCAGAACAAAATAGTCATTATTTTGCGAGTTCATGCATGCAGCTTCGTTTCTGGATATTTTGAAAATTTGAAATTTTTAGGGGTGGACAACCTTTTTTTAACGTGTACATGGTACTATTTTAACTTTATGGGTTTTAAATCATGTTATGGAAAAATTGTCTAGTAAGTAACAAGTAATAACACTCATTGCGATCGCTCACAAACTCAAGTTGTAAATAAATTTCTGGAAAACAAGTCTCCTGTTAAAAAAAACAATGCGTTTGTCTTATTGTTTAATTTGATTAAAATGGTGGAACTGCCGTCTTATTACTATCATATGGCCGAATAGACCTACGAAGTACCATGTGCTCTTGTGATATGGTGTAAGGTTTAGTTTTGTTTGAAACAGTTCGAAACCGTTCATGCATAAAAAAAAGTTCGCTAATAAATAGTCTTTTGTCAATCCGCCGCCGTATAGCGCCTGCGTTTTTTTTTTCTTTTGAAAACACTTGTTTTGCTATTCTTTCTAATTAGACGTTTTCAGATCGACTTTACATTTACATTTGTATAACATTAAATCAGATTTAACATTTGTATATATTATAATATTTCTTCGCCGCCACAGCATTAAAGAGATTCCATTAGAGCTGATAGCTACAAACAATCCGCAAGCATCGTTGAATAGTATTAACCATTATTTTGCAAATGTAGGCAGAACTTTATCTAAAAACCTGTGTAAAAATAAGCCCCCAATTCAACTCCCTGCTTTAAAGTCATGCTGTCATTCTTTTACTCTTTTATCTATGGATAAGGATGAAGTAAGGAATCTAATAACTTTAGGCTAACAGAGATTTTGTAGTGTCTCCGATAAAGTACATTTGCAATTTATCACTTTCAACTGGAGTGTTCCCGCGGATATACAAGGAATCGCGAATCCACCCGATTCATAAAAGTGGAGACAGGGGCTGTGTCAGTAACTATAGACCGATTTCTATTCTTCCCACTATCTCAAAAATTTTAGAACGCATTATAAATAATAGATTAGTAAAATACTTGGAAAGTAAAAATCTCTTGTCACATAAACTATCTGGCTTTAGAGCAAATAGATCTACATCAGATGTGGTTGTTGAACTAACAAAGTACATAGTTAATGATTTTGACAATAAAAGAAACAATAGGTATATTTTTGGATTTGGCAAAGGCATTTGACAGTCTCTGTCCCAATTTTAGTTAAAAAACTTGAATACCTTGGTATTATAGACCTTCTATTGAAACTTCTACAAGATTTAAAACAGACAGAACGCAATCTGTACAAATTGATACAATAATTAGCGTAGAAGTCCCTGTAACTTTTGGAGTTCCTCAGGGAAGCATTCTGGGTCCAATTCTCTTCCTTGTTTATATCAATGATCTTTGTCAAATGGAAATTCCTAATGCAAAAATAATTGCCTTCGCAGATGACACGGCCATCCTTTTCAGTGGTAACTCATGGTATGAGGTTTTCTCAAATGCTCAGAGAGGAATGAATACTGTTACTAGTTGGTTATACAAGAATATTCTAACTCAATATTACAAAGACTAATTACATCTCCTTTTCCATTAAGACCACTGATAAACCAGACCCTGTATATCGAATTGTTTCCCACTTGTGTGATAATCCCAATGACACAACCTGTCTATCCCCGAAGCTTGTAAACACAGAATCAACTAAATACCTAGGCGTAATGATTGACAGCAAATTAAGTTTTCACTATCACATTGACCTTCTAACGGCAAGAATACGCAAATTAACGGTAATTTTTAAGGCCTTGGCCTTGGCCCTATCTTTGCAGGGCGAAGTTTTGATTTCACACTGATCTGTGTCTTCATTTTTGATGCAGAGAATATCGTCCGTATTCATATGGAAAATAGGTTTCTGTAGCGGGCAAAGGTGAGTCTCAGCGTCGAACTGTGTACATCTTTGAACTTCTTCTTCTGATAATGGTAAGAGATCGAATCATAAGAGTCCTTTTGGATGTTGATCGAAATATGATCTGCAATAGGTGTGATGCGGACAATCTGTTTTTGTACTTGCTGAGGGATAGGGATAAGCCTGTAAATCTCGTACGTATCAAAATAAAGTCTTGACTTGTAATCCTTGCTTTTATTTCCAGTAAATGATACAGTCTGGATAAGTTGTTTTGAATGTTGTTTATAGGCAGAGCTAATTCCTTTGATGATTGCCCAGAGATAATATTTAACTCTTCACTCAGCTGTCTGCTGAGTGAAGAGTTAAATATTCTGCTGCCTTTTTGGGTTTACTCCGTAGTTTCAGCAGCACGTTAAGTTGCCAAATAGTCGGCGTGCTGTATTCGCCTCATTTCTGACTGCTCTGGTGTTTCAGCTGATCTCTAAGCAGCCTGTCGCCCAGTTTTCTCAATCTTCTAAGCTCCGCTTAAGAAGAAGTCTCTCGACTTCTAGCAACTTTCATAGCTCAAGCTTTATCACTCCTCCGCGAAAGATCAGAATTGCGTTTTCCGGGCATTTCGAAAAACTTCTTAATAACAACAAATCACACAAATGATAACTATCCAAGAACAATGTACTTAAACCTATAAGCACAAAGATATAACTAACCTAACTACAATTTAATTACAAAAGGACACAACTAGCCTAAAAACAATTTATTTACAGTATGTACCTGAACTAAAACAAAACAGCAAAGTAATAAATCGAAATCAAGTCCGTAATCATTGATCGAGATAAATATTTTTTTTAAATCAAAGGAGCAAAACTAGGTTTCCAAAATGAGATAAGTTTCTACAAAAATTACTAGGAAGGTCATTCATCGAAAAAAAATCTTTCTAACCGATTTAAAAAATGTTCACCGTAAAGCGCGATCTAGAGCGTGAGAATCAAAAGTCTGAAATCTAAAGTCGAGACTTTGTTGAACACAGTCTCTTACTGCAGGCGACTAAATCTAGTCCATTTCAATCCCCAGAACAAGTTTGCGCGCTTACTACTAAAAAGAACCCCTTTGTCGTATCTCTTCAGGTTCAGAGCACTCCCCTTATCGCATCAGCTAGTATCGGAATCCTCGGCGTGGACATATCCAGTGACGTGCAATTTCATAGTCACTTGGAAGAGAAACCCAAATTGGCCTCTAAAAAGCTTGGCGTGCTCAGCAGAGCGGTACAATATTTCATGCCGGCCCACCGCCTTCAACTTTACAAGTGCATTTTTCCTGAATAAAAGTAGCCTATGTCATTCTCTGATCCATAAACTACCACTATGCAAAAAATCATGTCGGTTACTTGGTCTGTGAAAAAGAAAAAACAAATCTATCCCATGAAACTGTATATCTTTCGGAATTAAAAGTAGCCTATGTGCTACAGACTATAATCTATCTCTGTGCCAAATTTCATCCCGATCCGTTCAGCCGTTCTGGCGTGATTGAGTAACAAACATCCATTCATCCAAAGTTTCGCATTTATAATAAGTTAGATTATCTAATCTGTGCCCGCGAGATGGTATAGGATAGTGGTAGATATTCTTACACCACAACTAAACGACCACTTCACATTTTACAATAAGACGATAACAATAAAGCATAAATATATAAATAAAAAAGACAGCTCCTCCTAAAATTGTGTCGTAATCGCTGGAAAAATCACCATTTTTTGGGATACATTTGGGGTTATAGATTACTGCGCTTTCTTACTAATACATTATATGGGTACCTATATTTGAGATCCGGAATATTGCTTTGCGATTCCTGATGTGATGATGGTTGATAGATAATGTCACTTCTTAGTTAAAGAGAAATGTAATTTTGAAATGACTTCGTGTCGCTAAGTTCAAAATCATTACCGATGTTTTATTAACTGATTACTGTTTTCAGAAGCAAGATGTTTCTTATGCCCACTTTTTTTAATAATTATTTGAGAGAGCGTGGTCTTGGCCATCAAATCTACGCAGCAATGAAAAATGATGATTACTCTGATGTAGTTATGACTGCTCTCCGTGTACTTGAGGAAAGTGGAAGTTTACCAACGATAGAAAAAGAAAACAAATGTGAGAAAAGATCTGATAAATATCGGGAAGAAGGTAATATAGCATTTAAAGTTGGGAATGTATACAGAGCTCTAGAATTTTACAATAGAGCTCTGATGTTTGCGCCGAAAAATTCAAGAGCCATAAAACTCGCTTATAGCAACAGGTCGGCAATTTTATTTAAAATGGAACAATTTAGTAAATGTTTAATTGACATAGAAACTTGTTGTAAACTTGGTTGCCCCACAGACATTGAAAGTAAGCTTATTAAAAGAAAAAATGAAGCTATAAAAAGAAGTAAAATAGAAAATATTACTGCAAGTTTGCTTGCTAGTTACTTTAAAGATTATTGTAAATTTGATGTTAAAACCAATACTTCTATACCTTGCGCTAGCTCTGACATAGAAGTTATAAAAGGAAATGTTTTTAAAGTAGTTGCAGCAAAAGATATTAAAGTGGGAACTCCTCTGGCTTTAGAAGATTCGTTTGTAAGTTGTAATAACGAAGAAAATATACCTTTTTCTTGCCATTACTGCCATAAAATGTCTTTGAACCTAATACCATGTGAAGGTTGTTGCTTAGTTTTGTTTTGTAGTGAAGAATGCAAAGAAATATGTTTAAAAGAGTACCATAGCATCGAATGTCAAATTATGGAGGTTATTCAAAGCATAGCTTTCAGTCCTATGGCGAAATTGATGATAAAAGGCACTTTGAAATTTGTCCAAATGTGTGGGTCATGGAAAAAAGTAATTTCATCTTCGCATTGCACTGGTGCTGACAGGATACGCATCAGTTCAGAACAGGAAATGTACGATGTCAATAATAAGTTCTCGGTACTTAATTTTAATGATAATCGGCTGTTCGTGCATGGATCAATGTATTCAGCCAGTTTTGTATGTGCTACATTTATTTATTATTTAGAAAGAATATCTGGCTATTTGCCTAGTTCATTTGATGAAAGGAAACTTGCTAAGAAAGCACTGGGAAGAATCATGATGTATTTTAGCCTTTACGCTTCCCCCACACCAGTTAATCTTCGTGTATCAGATACCAAAAATAGAAAATCATTTCTCAATCCAATTTCAAATCACGGATGGTATCCTTTAATTGGTAAATTAAAAGAATCTTGCAGTCCAAATCTATTTGTTATCAATTTAAATAAAAAAATGTTGTTGATTGCGTTGAAGCCTATAAAAATGGGATCAGAGTTAACTGTTTCTCACATGTAAGTATATTTTCTTCTTTTTTTATACTACCCGTTATTGATAGTTGTGCAACTATAATACTTTAAAGCATACTGAACGGTATTATAAAACGCCATAGGCCATTTCCTGTACTTATTTTCTTAACCGATTTCAAAAAGGAGAAGGTCCTCAACTATGTTACGCGATATCTTCGCAGATTATGAACCAATTTTATTATTCTTTTTTTTTTTATTAAATAGATTATACTTCAAGGGTGGTCCCATATAAATTTGGAGAAAAGAATTGACCTCTAAGGGTAACAAATAAATAACTTCTTTTTTAGCAATTTAAAGTCGGTTTTTACTTTTTGTTAAAAGTTATAATTATGTTTCATTAATTCTTAGTTGCTCTGATTGCATAAAAAATTAGTATGAAAATCACAAATAATAAGAGGCGACAGAGGGAAACTGAATTGCCAACTCGCCTGCCAAGCGTGAGATCAATGTATGAGGGAGGCCTGCGTTCAGCTGTGCATTTTGATAGGATTTAATTATGATTGTCGCGACCAATCGACGCGCTCCGAGCAAGCGCGGGAGTACGTCGGCCGTGCGACGCGCGCCGCAAGAATAATAGGCGGACATCTGACCGGCGGACAGAAGGACTCCAGTCTACGAGAACAACAAGGCTGAGAAGAAAAGAACGATCCCTCACAGTGAAAAGTAAAAATTATTTAATAATACAGTGTGGCCTTTGTAAATTGTGCAATAGATTGTTTATAGGTGCGTCCCTCTATCAATAGAACCGTCAATAAAGTAAAATCATGTCTTCACAATAGTTAAATGCACACTGTTTTATAAATTAATACAGTCCACTTGCTCTGATGTTGTTGATGATGATGATGATGGTGGTGGTGGTGATGTTGATGATGATGATGTATAAAATGGCGCAATAATACCAATAACGGGCGGGAACCTAAATACAACTAGCACAATTTCGTTTTTCACTTGTAAACGAGAAAAATGTGAAACTATGTTTTTATGGATGTTTGTTCAATGTCACGCTTGAATAGCTGGATGTATAGAATTCGATTATTCGATTATAGCACTAAGAAACCTTTTGTAAAGGTTAGAAGTTATTACTTCAGTTTAGTCTCTGTACGTGGTAGAGCCATATTGCAGCTGTATTATATTTGTGGTACGAATGAGTCGGCTCGGCCGAAGAGCCGCGCTCACTGAGTGCAAGAATGAAATAGCCCCTTAAGGTGAAAGCTCCAGGGTGGCCCGGGAAATTCTAATTTTCTTACGTTTTTTGGAATTTGCAGGTCAGGGTAGGATAGAATGTTTAACAAAATATGATTCGTGAACGGAACGAGTATGTATTTACAGAATTATAATCATTAATACAACCGTCTATGTTCGTATAATTCCTTTGAATGAGTTTTTCTGGAAATAGCCATACATTAAAATTATACGAACATAGACGGTTGTATTGATGATTATAATGATTATAATTCTGTAAATACATACTCGCTACGCTCGCGAATCATATTTTGTTAAACATATAACCTGACACTGGCCTGCAAATTGCAAAAAACGTAAGAAAATTTGAATTTCGTGGGCCACTCTGGAGCTTCCACCTTAATGCTGCTGTGTTTCGTATGGCGAGAGTAGAGTACCGGAGACCCTATTAACTGGAAATGACGCATTTCATCTTAGTCCTCAGGAATGACAACGCTACTGCATTTTGTTTCTTAATAGATTGAATGGGCCACAGCATCTACTGTTTGCTCTTTTGTCAAACTTATTCTGTAAAAAAAAGTCTACGCCCACCTAACCGAACAGAAAACAATTATTTTTATCCATCGTTAGAAACGTAATTACATGATGAATCTGTTAATGTTGTCGCAGTTCCTCTGGGCCTTAGCTAACGCGTTATATTGTGTTTTCCCATCACGTTATAGTCAACTGTTTTTTAAGTTTTTAATTAACTAAAAATCTTTTGTTTTTTCAGAGGTCATTATTTAATACATCAACATGAACATCGTGCAAAAACTAGTATATCATTTAATTTGTTTGAGAATGTTTGTGACTGCATTATATGCACTGGTGAATGGAAATCACAGAGAAAACAATTTGCATTCACGGAAAAACAACTTAACTTATATAAAGAAAGATTTTTGCATGAAGACGTAGGTGTGAACATTATGAGAATTCCCGATTTATTTCAAAAAATATGCAATGCGCTCACATGTTTTAGCGAAGTGCCTTTCTCAGAAGAATATGTGCGAGTTTTCACAAAATTTTTTGAATTTATATCTGCTTATCAAGAAGTCGTATGCTCTAATGTAGTTTTAATAGAAAACCCGGATGGGAGTGTCCGAGGGTAAGTTGTTATAAAACAACTAAACAAGAAACTGGGCGAGAGTCACGCCAATTTTAAAATAATAAAAAATATCTATTTTTATGCGAGAAGACAAATAAGTCGCAACCAAGCTACAAAAAACCTTTTTCTGAATTATAAAGGGCATGTTTCCATACTTCGAAATCTCTCTGTAAATTATAAGTCTTAATACCTTTAACTTATTCAAAACAAAAATTATAAGTTTTTTTGAGATTTTCAATATTTTTTTAAAATTATAGTGATTACCACCAGTGAGAACCACATTACCGTTATACGTAGCTACTGTTTTGTTTTTTTTTTCGCAGTAAACTGGTCATAATTCTCCCCTCGCTTATTTAAATTTATTTCTTAGCATTGCGACGATTTCATAATTATTTTGTTTGCTTTTTTTAAGTTATCATTTCATAAAAACATCGTATGTAACAATTTCGAATATAATTTTTTGTATTAAATAAACTATAATTTATCCGTATACTCTTTTTTTTATAAATTTTACTATCCTTATATTTAATTTTAAATCTAGTGTCTATTAAAGCTATATGGTACACCGTGAGTGTTGATTTCGATTATATGTTTAGATATTTATTTAGTTGATGGCTACCTAACGATAGAAATAAGCTGAGGCGGCAATAGACCAGCCATATAGGCCGATGAACCGGCAACCGACGGGGACCGAAGTTTCTCGAGTGGTAGCCTCGTACCGAAGTGTTAAGGTGTAGGACGGCCCCCAACTACATGGAGTGACAACCTGGTAAATCCTACAGGAAGTATACGATGGATGCAGATGGCTTAGGACAGTGCTTTGTGGCATTCCTTGGCTGTAATGATAATGATACATAACGAGCCCCGTTAACTACAGATAAGCATGTAACGTATGAAAATCCGCCTAATATGTCTTTTAGGGTTCCCTAGTTACACAACAAGGCACTGCGTTTTTGCTCAGAAATCCTAGGTGCTACAAATCTGTAATTTGGCATGGTTATAGGTATTAATCACGCCTAGAAAACTTTGAAATAAAATCTTAAATAATTGAAAATTAAAAATTTTGTACAACCGACTTCAATATAAATTATTAAGAATAACTCAAAAACTATAGGTCAGACCTTGATCAAATTTGTATGACATCACATGTGAAGCACCAGCTTTCAAATAAAAAAAAATCATCGGAATCGGTTGAGCCAGAAAAAAAGTTATAAGGTAACACATGAAATAGAAACAGTCGAATTGAGTACCTCCTACTGTTTGAAGTCGGTAGAAAACATTTTTATTTTGGTTTACAAGAGTACGAGAGTAAGAGTTACAGCGTCCTCTGCGTCCAATACAATAATGCGTTTAGGGCGGTGATGGGGCTGCATCGATTTTGTAGCGCCTCTGGTATGTTCGCGGATGCGCGCACCGATTGCTTCAATGCCACCATGCGCAAGCGGGCAGCTCCAACACTGTCCTAGCGATGATCTCAGGAAGATTAGACTGTTATATTATCCGGCGTTGCTGCGACAGACATGTCGCAGAACAGTTGCCTCTGAGAAAGTTTTGATTGATCTCGTCTCCTGACTAATAAAAATGTGTTTTCTGTTACTTATATATGTATTAATTTTATTTTATTTGATTAGGTTATTTTATATACTGACATTACTGCTTATTGAAATTGACTGGATTTATTATTTTAAAATTGTTATTTTGTTGACATTGATTTATGTATTGTATTGCTACAATTTTGTAGATTGATTTTAAATTCATTTATTTCAGCACAGTTGCCTCAGAGAAAGTTTGAATTATTGATCTCATCTCCTGACTGATAAATGTGTGTAATTCTGTTATTTATGTATTAATTTTAATTTTATTTTATTTTATCTCATTATATTATTTATATGCTGACATTACTGCCTATTTACATTGACTGGATTCATTATTTTAAAATTGTTATTTTGTATTGATATTGATTTAATTATTGCAAAAATTTTGGAGACTGATTTTAAACTTATTGATTTTACTGGATATGGGTGTAATTTGTCTGAATAAAGATGATTATTATTATTATTATTACTTCCCAAACAAGTAAATGGAGGATGATTTTTTTTTACCCATCTATTCCATCATGGAACAACAAATTTTCGGTTCAGGTGTCCGTTTACGAAATATTTAGCTTCAAAATGGCATTTTTCATTTCATGTGAATGCTCAGAACCACTTGGCCAGTTTTTAAAGTATTTAATAGAATAAGGGTGACACGAGCACACAGCCATCTGATGGTAAGTGGATGTTGTGGCTCATACACATATACATTTATCCTCAATTACGAATCGAAATGCAGACGCGTTGTCACCAATGGCGGCGTAGCGTGAGTTGGCACCCAGGGCGGTTTTCTATCAAGCACCTCCCAAATGAAACAAAAAATGTTAAACATACTTGCGGAACTTTATTTCGCTGAATTATTCTATTCACCATCATTATCATTACAGCCCTTCACAAGTCAATTGCTGAACAAATGCCTCCCCCCAAAGAATGCCACAAAGCACGGTCCTGAATCACCCGTATCCATCGACTTCCTGCATATCTCACCACGTCGGCACTCCCATCTTGATGGGACCCGCCCCATTCTTCGCCTACCCGTAAGAGACTGCCACTCCAGAACCTTGCTTTCCAATCGGTTGTCGATTCTTGGAGCTATATGGCCGGCTCATTGCCACTTCACCTTACTAATCCGTTGGGCTATGACGGTTACTCTGGTTCTACTGCGGATATCCTCATTTCTAAATTTATTACGCAGAGAAACTCCGAGCATAGCCCTCTCCATATGTCGCTGAGTGATTTTGTACTTCCCCATAGCCCATACGGCCAGCAGTGAAGGAAAACGTCTCAGATCCATTAGTTATTACTGCCAACACGTATTGGTTGCAAAATCTCGTTTTCAAGTTTTGAAGTACACCTGACGACGAGACGACGTGTCGTAACTCCCGAACGCTGCCCAGCCGAGTTGAATCCGTCGATTAACCTCTCGATTGAAGATGAACTTACCTAGTCGGAATATTTGTCACAGGTAAATATACTCGTCAACAACTTTGAGCTTAGTGCTCCCTCAAAGTTGTTTACGAATATATTTACCACCGGCATAGGTGTGACAAGGACGTTACTCATGATCATTGTTTTGTCCATGTTCAACTTCAACTTATCTTCATCTTAAGACCTATCCGTTGGGAGACGCTATTGAGGTCACTGATCATAGTGCTTAGGTTCCACAACGATTCTGCTATAAGCATAAGGACTATAACGTCGGAAAATCGAAGGTGAGTGATTTTGAGCTTGGAGCGGTCCGTCACGGAGTCCCAATCGCCTCAGATGAACCGAGAGTGACTGGGATTAACCCATTCGCAGAACGGGTTAATCCCAATCAGCCTCTCGGGTTATTATTATTATTATGTATCTATAAAGTTTTCTCATCTGGTTGGGTAATATAAATATATAATTGTAGATAAACATGGTAAACGTACATAAATATCAATAAAATAAAATAAATACATAAATATATAAAAACCCAACAAGATGGAAGCCCTCGGCAGGGGGGACCAAACGGCCGAGGGTTAGGGGGAAAGGGAAAGAAACCGGCGGACGATGCGAGCGGTATCGAGAAGCACCGCCTTCTGCATTTGAGCATGGAGCGGTCCGTCACGGAGTCCCAGTCGCTTCAGATAACCCGAGAGGCTGACTGGGATTAACCCGTTCGCAGAGATAGCTACAGGTATAATTTCGGCCGGCAATCCACCCCACATGTCGGTCACCTCGTGAGCCAGGTCCAGATATTTTGTTAGCTCGTGAAAGCCGAAACAGATAGTTTCGGCTTTCACGAGGTTCTCGTCATAAGGAATGGTAATGTCGACCATAAATATCCTTGACTGTGCCCGGTCCATCAGCACAATATCAGGCTTATTCGCAAGAATAGTCCTGTCTGTGATGATGGTCCGGTCTCAGTAGAGCCTGGCGCGATCATTTTCGAGCACGGCTTCCGGCAAGTACTTATAATACGGCAGTTTCCGATCCACGAGGCCGTATTTCAGAGCGAGCTCCTGGTGTAGAATCCTGGCTACTAAGTTGTGTCTGTGCAAATACTCAGATTTAGAACGCGTCGACCAATCACTTAGGCATGTCAAAGATGACACGCCTAAGTGACTCACCGGGATGGCGACAAGCTCGACAGATGTCGACGGTGCCATCCTTTAGGATGTATCTCCGATAATTTTTGGTCTTAATAACCTGATCCTGTATCGGACAGACAAAACCCTCGGTTTCCCCAAAGAGGTCACCGAAACGTAGCCAGTGCAGGGAGGCGACTGTGTCTACGAAAGGCTCATGTAGAGCCTTGTAGAACCTACGGTGGAGCTCCTTCTACTTCCATACGGTCTCCCGGTCGGAAATGCTCTGTACTGCCGGGTCTTGCCATTACTCGTTGGCTAAGGATAGAGGGGTAAGTCCTTTATCACAAAAAATAACGTCCCTATAGTATGGATCATCCGCTCTCGTCAGAAAGTAATTACGGAGGCTGCACACTTCGCGATTATGCATGGTAAGCGCGCTTAAAAAGCCGCGTCCACCATGCTTCCGCGGTAAGTACAGCCTCATTACTGACGATCTCGGATGATGCATCCTGTATGACGTCATAATAGTGCGGACTTTTCTGTCCAGAGCGTTCAGTTCGGTCTGAATCCACCTGAGTATGCCAAAGGTATACATGAGAACAGGCATGGTCCAACCGTTATATACGTGCGTCTTATTCACACCGGACAAAAGGCTGTTAAGCGCTGTGGTCAAGCGTGCATAAAATACATCGCAAACTGACTGTTTCATACCCGCCTCATCTACACCGATGTTCTGTGATATACCCAGGTATCGGTATGTTTCAGCCTCGGAAAGGGTCCTTATGTTGATGGGCATAGATAAGTCTATGCCCTCAGAGTTAGCAACCCTTCCCCTTTCAACATGGAGGACCGCA